GAAAATCTGGAATCTGAGGGTGCAAAAAAATCTAAAAATTGAGAAAATCATCTTTAAAGTTGTCCAAATGAAGTTTTTAGCAATGCATATTACTAATCAAAAATTAAGTTTTGATATATTTACAGTATGAAACTTACCAAATATCTTCATGGAACATGATCTTTACTTAATATCCTAATGATTTTTGTCATAAAAGAAAAATCTATAATTTTGACCCATACAATGTATTGTTGGCTATTGCTACAAATATACCCCAGCGACTTAACACTGCTTTTGTGCTCCAGGGTCACAAATATTAACACTTTTCTCTCACTCTATTGCTGCATCATCCTCTATGACAACACATGATAAGCAAGTACTGATACGTTAGTGTGTTCGACAGCATCAGCTGTCCTCTAGACTGAAACCATCTCCCTTACAATGTTCAAAGATCTTTTTGAGATATACGGAGAGCAACCTGGTCCAAGGTTAATGCACAGTTAAGTCTACATTCACCTGCCATCGCTGCGGTCATATCTGGGTGAATATGTGATGAAGGATTAGTCATGTATTGTGGAATGTTCTTCAGCATGACAGTGGCCAGAACTGACTTGTTATCTGGTGGGTGCGATCAAGTTCTTAACCTCTCCCTCGACCCTGTGGTAAAAACAACAAGCACTGCTGATGTGAGTGTCGGGTGACATCAGAAAGGGAGGGAAGGCTATGAGGGGAGAGGGAGCGAGAAATGTTTTTATTTCCGCAGGGGTCTGCTTAAAATACCCACTTAATCCAACACACATCCTTAAACGTATGTATTTACAATGCTCAAGAATCCTGCCCTGTGTGAGCACCGTTTAGCACAACAGGACTCTGGGAGAAAACAAGCTTTTTAAAAAAAAATGTCTGTTTGGTGCTACAAAAATTAGGTGCACTCTGTGTTTTGAGTTTATGTTACAGTGGTTGACAAGGCAGTACTCTTGGATCTATACTGACATCATGCAAAAGTAAAAAAAAATTTAATAAGTCTGTTCTCATCTCATAATTTGGCAACAGCCTGCTGAGGACAGTAAATGCAATACAAAATGTATTTGTTTCTTTTCCCAAATACAATACAGGTCATTGTTGTTTGAAACATTTTAAGACACTTGACAAGTTATTATTTAGGTTCTTTAGCATTATGTTTGACGAGATTATTTTGCTCTTTTGAGGATACACAAAAGCTGTGAACCCATGGTGAGTGCCGTGATTTCTGCAAGCATGCGTTTAGCATGACTGGTGCAGATTGCAATTTAATTAGATGTTAATCATCTATAGAACATAAATGACCATGTGTGTGCATCATGCTGTTTTCTGGCCATTAGTGACAGATGAGCTCAAGAGTGTAGCAGGCCATTAGCTCTCTGCAGCACGTGTCTGTCTCTGACTGAGGCTGTGCCCTCATTACAAATGTAGCCCATTGAAGCAGAGTACAGAGAACAGCTGACATCCCCTAATGCCAGCTACAAGTCATCAGCGGTGCTCATGCCCACTTTACACACACACACACACACACACACACACACACACACACACACACACACACACACACACACACACACACAGACACACACACACACACACAGACACACAGACACACACCCACACACCCACACACACACAGACACACAGACACACAGACAAGATAGAGCTCCTATTAATGAGGGGTTTCTGGGATGAGTGTAAAATATCTGCTGACAGAGACAGGGTACATTTAAGAGATCAGAGCATTGTTTGAATTATGAAAAGATAAACTGAAAAGTCTAATTACTGGAAAAGAGGACGAAACCTGTGGCTATCCTTGCGTTTACAGACACCAGCTGAACACAGCCGAACTTTATGACTCACGCTGTTCAATCATTCTTTACTACTGCACACTGAAACAAAAGCTCAGGCTGAATTTACAAGTACCACAAGCAGTAACATATCTGATAATGCATTACTTTACTAGCTACTTGAAAAAAGTAATCTGATTTCGTAACTCGCGTTGCTCGTAATGCATTACCCCAAACACTGCTAATAAAAATACTTTGATCACTTTAATAATATTATAACATGGCCAACAATGATTAATTGGCTTAACTATTATTATAAAATGTGGCTAAAAGTACTCAGTCTACTCATTCTAAAAGTGTTAAATATGACAATTTTAAAGGAATGGCTCACACGACAAATGAAAATGTTTTTTTAACCCTTTAAGCCCTGAAGGCATTTTTGCTCCCCTGAAGGGTGTTGTTTTTTCTGAGTGACATGCGCAAAAATAATGACTCATAACTCCAAAATTCTAGCAAGGAGAGTCAAAAGGTAGGTATCGTTTGATAGAAAACTTTCTGCATTTTTAGGAAAAGAAAAAAAGTCTTTACATTTGGACATTCTCCTGCAGAGAAATAGCTGATAAAAGTGCAAGAAAAATGTGTGTGCTCAAGGGAAATTTTACATATCTGTCTTATTTGACATCCAATATCTCACGAATAAATAAGGTAGGGGGAAACATTTTTTGGGGGTGAAAAATGTGTTAGCTGCATGTGGATTAAATTTTATAGTGGTAACATGAAGTAATCAAAAGTTACAGCATTTGGAACCAAGGTAGTCTTTTTCTTAGCCACTGACAGTTTTGCAATTGTTGTTTTCTGAGTGACATACACAGAAGTAATGCCTCGCTCAAGTTTAGTCGTTATGCTTGTTTTATTCTACTCTGTGAGATCTTTCAAATGACATATGACACATGACTATCTGAGCTGTATGATGTTTTTGACATATTAAGGGTACATGGCACAAAAACATCTAATTTTTTTTCATTTATCAGCAAATAACTCGGCACTACTTTGGAGTTAATCTAATTGGCTACATGCATTGTAAAGGTCAGACTCTAAGCTTTCAAATGGCAACATTTTTTTGTTGATCAAGGCAGTTGTTTTGAACAATTCATTTTAGAGGGACTACTCCGCACTCGATGAGAGTTGAATTAATTCCATTCATTAAAAAGCTGAGTTTCTAAGCTTTAAAATGATACCCATTTTGTGTTATTGCATTTGGTGGTTTTGTGATATTCCATTAAGAATAATTGGGAGCTGGTAAAGGTGAGTCTTTGCAATGATCTGAGACAGTTTTATATTTCCAGTGTAACAGGAAAGTAAGGACTTAGTTATCTAGGCGTCTGAAGTGGCTTTCTATGAAGCCTGTGTTCACAGACAGCTGCTTCACGCACCAGTACCTAAAGATCTTCTCTTTTGCACCTTACTGTGCTTGATAGCGTGCTCTTTTAGTCTACTGTAACCCGGTGTTAAATGCGTTAAAATATTTTTAATGTGTTAAACTAAAAAAAATGTATTGTTCATTTTGACAGCCCTAATTTTAACATATTGTAAAATGTAATGTATTCAATTGATGGCAAAGTTGAATTTTCTCCAGTCAGTCCTCAGTGTCACATGATCCTTCAGAAACCATTCTAATATACTGACTTGGTGCTCAAGAAACATTTATGATTATTATCAATGTTGAAAACAGTCATGTTGCCTAATATTTTTTTGTGGAAACCGTGATTTTTTTTATTTTATTGAAGCGTTGATGAATAGAAAGTTCATTGTATGCATTACTGCACATACAAATCCAGAAGAGAAGCAAAGAACCAAACGGAACAATAAGTTGCTAATGCATTGATGTCCCTCTGTTTTGGATACTGACAGCTCGCTTGAGGAAACAGATGCATGTCTTTACTTATTTGCATTTTTTCTTCACCATAACTGCTCCCATCAGCCCTTGCAGTCCATGGGTAACCCACACATTGTGGTCCTAGAGAGGGCCTGTGTCTTTAGTATAAACTAAACACACTAAAATATCCAATAAAAAAAAAAAAATACTGTCAGTAATATCCCTGCTAATATTTATTTCACCAAAATAATAATAATAAAGTGGGTCAGTGGTCTTGTTCACAGTCACTCCCACAGTTATCATGACGACAAAGCAATACAATATCAAGACAATATCAGCTTAAAATATCCTACAAATATGAGAGCATTGACTTTTATGACAACAACGGATCTCTTGTCACACTTAATGTACACTTTTTACTGGCTACAGGTTGCCCATTATAATGGAAATTTCGGCATTTTTCATTCTTTTCTATTTTCCATATTGTATATTCTCTATTTTCAACATGTTCTATTTCCACAGGTGTTGGCCTTCGGTTTTTTCTCTGTGTGCATGGCTTAAACTTCTGTCAGCGTTCCTCTAACCAGGCCATGGCTATGACTGGCTGGAACTAGTCTGAGAAATACTCAAAGGTCAAAGTTGATCCTTGGACAGTCTTTATCAGTATAAACACAGAACTTCTCAGAACTTCTGTGTGTCAGACTGACCTTTCCTGCAAGAATTAAAGGGCCAATGACAAATCTTTTGACTGTTTTATCACTCTCTGTTTTACATTTAGTACCAGATTCAGAACACCATGCAGTTAGTTTAGACTGTGTCAGAACACATTACACAGTCATGCAATTTAATGGCACAGAGTCTGTGATGTAAGGCAGTGACACCAATTAATGCAGCACCGGTGCTGTTCACAACAGGCCAATCAATATGTCTGTGACTACTACTTTCCTATAGCATGTACACACATCAAAGAGCAACCAGCACTTTATCTGATCAAACAGCAACTCTACACACAGACTTAGTGAAAGTGTGTGAACGTCTGTGTGATTGTCAGAAGAGTGATGAAGGGGTTTGTGTGTGTGTGTGTGTGTGTGTGACACAGAAAGAGATGATTAATGGGAGAGTCAGACTGATATCAGAGTTGTAATTATCAGCATAAAACAGGTCACAGCGTTAGCATACACACACACAATCACACAAATAGATACAAAGAGCCAGACACGCTAGCCAGAGCCACTCGCAATCAGCACTTTAACAGCAATTTAATAAGGGAGATAAAGAAAGATGGAGAGAGAGAGGGAAAGAAAAGAGATGGAGAATCAAGAGAGTGAACATACGAGTCGGTTGATGCGAACAAACTCCTCAGGACTCTTGGCCCAGAGCGGCAGCTCCACATCTGACACCACCGTCCCATCATCCATCACTCCCAGGTTGTAATTATTGGAGTTGACAAACATCTCAGGGAGGTAATAGAACTCAGGGATCAGCTCCTGTGAGAGAGACAGGAAAAAGGCTTTTTAACGACAGATTTCACATTATTAACTGATGAAATAATTATATTAGGGCTGGCAATCAATTTAAATATTCAATCTTAATTAATCTCACAGTTTTTTTTTGGTATCTGATGTGTTAACAAGTACGTTCCTTTTTAAAGAAAGAAAACTAAATAAAATATATCTATGTATAATATGTGTATAGAAACATGCAAACCTACTACGCAGCAGATATAACAAATAAATGAAAAATCACTCTGTGGCAGATTTAGACTCTAAAGCCGACATCACATTTACCAAATGTCAAAAATATGCGAATGAAATTAGCAGAATGATTTGAAAAATGTACAAATGCCATTTAAAAAAATGATAATTAATGAATAAATTGCATCCATTAACACAGTGATTTTGACATCCCTAAATTAGATATATTTGACAATCAAAAATAATTATTCAACAATGACATTCAATTATTTCATTCCAAACAGGAAAGTAAACAAGAAAACAAAGCGGACTATTGTGCAAAGCAGATGCATTTCTAAACATACTAGATACCTATACAATATAACAGCTCATTAAATGGGAATCAGGACTTGAGGAATCAGTTATTCCTTCTTTGAATCTTTAGCCTTTAATCTGTGCCTCGCTGCCACTCTGAGTGAGGGATGCAGTTGGAGCTACTCCAGTTTAATATGCAAAGAAAGAGCGACTGCATGTCATCCTGATAACGAACATCCAAACAGCAGTGCAGAGGCACACTGCAGTCAAAGCAGAGAAGAGAGGACTAAACCTCTTTCTTCCTTTATAAAATGCATGGGCATCACTTTGTTTTAAAAGTTTAAATAATGGGATTTTTAAATCTCATTACACAGCGTTTGGAGGGAACAATCATTCTTGCTGATCAATTCAAGTGCTCAAATGTGACATTTAATTTGATAACTTTATTCCAATATCGGACCCTGTCAATCTCAGGATTTTGCAGGTCAGTGGATAAATCCACAGATGAGCAAATTAATTAAATATGACATGTTGGTTTAATGGTAAAGCATTTTATTTCCATTCCTGTAATGCAATCTAACTTGTACACTCGAAATGCCTGCATTCCTATAAAAGGGTAAGCTATTAAAGCATTTGTATAAAAGGGTTACCTGCTTTCTGATATCTGCTCTGGTCAAGCTCATGCACTTACACTATTAATTCTAACATAATTTTTTAAGACAAACTGGATTTTTAACAACAAAGAGTTGAATTTGTTTTAATTAAGAGGAATACAACTTTGGGTCTAAACGTACAAATATCAGCCATCAAATTAAAAGAGTTAACTTGTACTTGGAATTGGCCTGAATTTCTGTTTCAGTCCATACATACTTTCATCTGTCTCTCTGCATCTTATTATATTTTGCACCTATTCATTCACACACAATTACCTACACACACTCTCAATGGAAGTGATAAGTTTGTCCTAGGAGGAAAAGCATGCTCTTGCTCTGCAGAAACATGAGTCCTTTGGGAGAACCATCTAAATGACAATCTATCACTCACTTTGTAGTCATAAACCAATCAAGTTCTGTCTCACAACAGTTTTCTGTGATAGGTCCATTCCAAAGCTAAGTAAAAACCACATGGTTAATGTTTCTGTGTAGAACATTTATGTCTAAATTTAAACATCCACATAAAAATTAAACTGTACATATTTAATGTAACACGGCACTCAAATTTAAGATCTATATGTGTATTGTGTGCATTGCGAGTGGCCAATTAGGTGAGCAAACAAATGATGGAAGGTTCAAAACCAGCCTTCTGCCTCACTTCTTTCTGGTCCTCTCTTTAAACCCGAAGTCTTTAAAACAAAAAGGTCACGACTTTACAATGGCACCAGGCGCCCTGAGGTTCATGTATGGAGCCTGGCGTAAATTTGGCATCTTCATTGGCGGCACAAAGACCCAGAGCCACTTAACCAATGGTTGGGTTGGGGGTGGGGTGGGGGGGGGTAGGCAGGGCCGCAGTTCGGGAGAAGCTATTATGTGCAATGGCCCTTGAGTAGAACTGGTCAGAGGGCAAAACCTGTGATCCAAAATCCTGTCCTGCTGCGGGTCAATAGAGAGGGGTGCCCCTGGGACCCGTCTTAGGTCCTCTCTGATTCCCCTGAGGGGAAACTTTCAGTGTCCGCACTGCTTTCAGCCTTTTGCACGGGGGTCAGGGGATAGAGGTTAAAGGTCAGGCCAGAGTTTGCCTGACTAGAGACAGACAGGATCAGGGTTGCTTTAGGCCATTATAGCGCTCTTTTGCCTGGACACAAAAACTGCTAAAGGCTTTTCACCCCTCGGTAGAATGGGGGAGTGTTTCTAAACGTGGGGGGACTGCTGTGCTTTTTGTTTTTTTTTAAGAAAATGGGATAACAGCATGGCAAATTGAAACATTATTACATTTGAAGGCACTTCTTTGCTTCTCATTTGCACCTATCAGACCTTTTTTGCAAGGTTGAGCATGTTTGAAATGTTCCACAGCTTCAAAGTCAAATAAACTGAAGGCGATTTCCAGGTTTTTAGTCAAGTCCTCCATTCGGTTTTGATGCACGCCAATCCTGTTACGCTGATCCACAGTGACAAGCTTACGCAGAAACCAAACTGGGCTTTCGGTATCAAGTGTGACCATGTAATGTGAGCCACATGTCTTATTACCAAATGAGCCCCTGAAAAATTAAAGTATGCAACGAGCATGCTAACAAAATGGCTGTCTGTTGTAATGGATATTTCAAGAGGTCTGGACATTTGTTAAAGTCAATGCCGAACACTCTGAAGGGTCTCTGAGGGGCTATGGTGAGCATTTGAGATTGCTGTCTGACTTTGGTTTGGGGCCGAACGACAAAAGGTTCAACTGAGGGTTAGAGAGTTGTGAAAGGTTTCGCAAGAGAGAGTGTAAGGGAGGAAAGGGGGGAAAGTTCGAAATCAAGATTAGTTTAAAGCTTTGATCAAGGACCCTTGACACTTTCATGGTAGCATGACAAGGATTGGTTGTGACCGTACATGTGCTAGGGCCATTTTTTATGGGGAGGTGATGGGGGCAGCTGGGTTGTGGTGTCTCCATGACGACTGCCCTCACACCAAGTCCCAGCAAGCTCCGGTTACCAAGAGGAAGTCAACTCACTACAGAAACGTCTAATCATGTAATAGCCTCCACATTTTGGAAAAACAAAATATCAGTGGAAGGCGAAAACCAAATCCAGGCCAGGGATCGACTGATGCCTGATCGAGAAGAAATAAGCACAAGTACAGCCTTGTGCATGTGTATAAATATGGATGCATAACAATAAATAAAAAATAAGTAGCATTTCTATGTTAGAATGACTCAGAAAGCATTTCTGAGTGTCATGCACATATGTTGACGTACCTTCACATCAGACGTGTCCCTCTGGCAGTTTCTCCAGGCTCTGGACACTGAGGAGAAAGTGCGATCTGCGTGGTCAAATTTCCCACCTTGGAAATTCAGGAAGAATGTCGTGAAAGGCTCCTGAGAATAAAAAAGAACGCAGAAAATAAGGAATGTCCACACACACATTCACGCTAAAACGAGTATTAAAAAGTCATGTTAGGAGCTAAAACAACTACAGGGCAAATTCCAATGAACAAAGATCATGAATTTAATAACTACGAGCCTACTTTGATCAGTCTTTAGCCTGTAATTTGAATGATTTTTCAATACGTACAACCCGGTAAGTTTCTCTTATTTAGCATCGATGCCTGCTGTTCATAACAAAGCCTTATACAATATGATTCTAATTTGTGTGCACTAAATGACATCCTCTTCCCCAAAAGAGGGACCTGAATGCTAAAGAAACCTGTTATTAACCCCGGGCAGACACTAAAGCCTTTACAAGTGCATTATTTGTTATTTTCTAATCATGCTTAATCTTGTTTGTGCAGAATCAATAGGTGGTTCTTTTGAAATAATACCTCCCCGATGAGAAGGATGCAATTAGAGTGAATAGCACCACAGTAAGCTTCACCATGAAAGAAAGATACCCTAATTACGCAGAGGCTTTTGGGTGCTTGACTGAATTTAACACCATCCTTTTCTCTGTCAAGAGCCTCGATATCACAAGGTTGCTGATTTGTGTTATGGTACATGAATTAGGGTGTTTGGTGAAGTGGATTTGGGATAAGCCTGATAATAATGGGATGGGATCAATACAATGGGCCAACAGGGAATGGCTATGAAAGTGAAAAACTGTAACAATTACAGTGACGGCCAGGAATAGGTTAGTGACCTCTAGCGCTCTCTCTCTTGGTGTGTAGAATATGTGAATACACTAAACATTAAAAATAAAGTTGAAAATAAACTAATTTAAATCTAAAGCAACTGACATTGTACAAAGGCTTTGAGAGCTGCAGAGGATTATGAGACATTATAACGGTAAAACAAATACAGAACTGGCTATACTGAACAAAACTACACTTCATCAAAATACTGTTATAAAGCATATGAAGTATTTTTCCTCCGGAGTGTCACGTCTATGTGGAATATTAGAACACAAAGGACGAAGGGAAGATGAGCGATGTGTTTGTTAGTATGCAGATAAGGCCTACATTTCAATATAACAATAAATCAACCTGACTGAGCACGCACACATGCCCAATTATAAACAACAATTAGTTGCAATGTGCTTCACAACAGATCACATGATGAATGTGTAGCATTTTGACACAGCGTGAAGAGCACAGAGCCGCTGTCTGTTTAAAAACTCTTTAAAAGTGGCAAATCATTTGGACAATTATGACCATGTCCCGTTTATTTGTCCTACATAAACAGACGTTAAAGAAAGTGAAATAACGCACTGACAAATGGCACGCTGACAGGCTTTTCTATTCTGATGCCATAAAAATGATTTAAAAACTGGTGCTGGAGCATTTTGGTGTTAATCACATTTCCGTGTTACAGTGTGACACTTGTGTGTGTATGTGCAACTTACAATCCTCAGTAGCCACATCTGAGTAAAGCTGGAGGTGGAATAGTGCGTGCCGTAGTGGAATTTGGGCACCTGCTCGTCCTCCCATGATTCAAAGCGTTCAGAGAAGAATGCAGCCCTCTTTGGGTTGAGTGCACCAATGGGCTGTAATGAGAAAGGACAACATTATTGGAATAAACATAAAACTGCATTAATAAAACACAAATGTTCAAGAACCAAAGCAATAAATTATTAAGTTAGCTGTCAGAACAAGGACCACAGGTGTTACATCTGGGAAAAGTAATAATTTATTAATGCTAATCATTTACTTAAATAATAATTTAGTGCAGCTGCAAAGTTTCATCAATAATAGACTGTTATTTTAAAGAGATTCAACAGTCTGTTTTCTGTAACTGTGAATAAACATAAAAGCTCACAATTCACAAAATAATTGTGTTTATTTACACAACGGATCAAAAGTTTGGGGTCGGTAAGATTTTAAAATGTTTTTAAAAAAAATGTATCTTAAACTCACCAAGGCTCCATTTATTTGATCGTTAACAACAGTATTATTGTTGAATATCATTACAATTTAAAATAATGTTTTCTATTTTAATAAATTTAAAAAAGTAATTTATTCTTGTGCTCAAAGCTGAATTTTCAGTATCATTACTCCAGTGTCACATGATCCTTCAGAAATCATTCTAATATATTTATTTGATCCGCAAGAAACCATATCAATGTTGAAAACAGTTATGCTGCTTAATATTATGGAAACAGTGGTACTTTTTTTTCCTCAAGAGTCAGTGAATGACAAATATAAAGTTCCAAAGAACAACATTTATTTGAAATATAAATCTTATAGCATGTCTTATAGTAAACGCTTTTACTGTAACTTTTTATCAATTTAATTAATCCTTGTTGAATAAAATAATTTACAAAATAATACAATCATAAAGGTGTTTATCAACAAACAAAAGTCGGCACACCATAGGCTCCAAAAATGCAAAACAATTTAATAATGGACTTCACACAAGGGAACGTTTTGCGCTTCTTCTTTGTCTAGCACCAATTTTGAGCATTTTTTGCTGTTGATGTGCACGTTTTAGTTCAGTTTTTAATGGTGTTAAACATTAATAGCAAAAGGAAAGTTCATATGAGAGCTCATATGGTTAATACTCTCTTGCCCTGCATTGGGTTTTATCAAAGCATTGATTAGCTGCTTTAATTCTTCATTGATCTGAAGATGGACGCGTATGGAAGCAGGTCATTATTTACAGTAAATGCTCATGTATATGTATTGTTATTACCCTGCTGAGTCTTTATTACTCTTGAACTAAAGCTTTCTGTCTGTCTCTCATACCTTAGTATGATCAATAGTAATGGAATGATGGAGTTCCTTGAAATGAGAGCGGGCAGGACAGATCGACCATGTCCCTCTCATTTCATAGCTGTGTAATGAGGGTCCTCTGCTGCTTTTCTATTGATCACAATGGTGCAAGCACAATATGGGTGATTGTATCTTTTAATGTTCCGCTGTGCTTGTGTGTTTATGTGTGCCTGCATTAATGTGAGATTTAACACTGTGCAAGAAGTCCAAGGGCTGTGGTGCTCACCTAAAAATAGAGCTTAATTATATTCCACTAATTCTAATAGAATCGTGATTAAACTGTCTTGGATTTAATTGAGATTTAAAAAGGCGAGCTGTTTAATCAACGTTTGATTGTAAATCACTAAAGCTTGTAGAATTGTCACTGAAATGTAATAGACTTATGCTGAATGCGTTCTGTGTGTGTGTGTCCGTGTGTCTGTCCATGTGTGTGTGTCTGCGTGTGTGTGTCCATGTGTGTGTGTCTGTGTGTGTATGTCTGTGTTAAACTGGAGTGAAGCCCTGGGCTGACAATGACACACGGTCTGCTCTCTTGAGGCAACTACGGTGAGAACACACACTGAATTAAACATGGTGCGATTTAACTGATTGATTGCGGTAATAACAGGACCCTCATTAAAGAAAGAAAGGGGAGAGCAGGATAAAAAACATTTCTGTCATAGCTCACCGTGTGTGTTTCTATGTGAACGTGTAAATTTGTGTGCATGTATATCAGTGTGTGTGTGTGTGTGTGTGTGCATGTGCGAACCCCTCGTGTTGTTTACGGCAGTAAATTACGGTCGGAGGCGCTTCAGTACAATAGGGTCTCGTGACAGTGTCGTTCATCAGGGTTATCCCTGTACCACAGCGCGGTGTGATGGAGTGAACGCACACCACCGACCCTAATACGCTCTGGCAGCACTGCTGAATATTTCTCTAGTGATGGCTCAAATAAATGAGCTGCCCCAATGTTTTTAATTAGACTGCAAATCTGAACAGACTGCCGGTAGCTATCAGTATCAGCACTTCACCGTGCGGCTCAAAATTCAGGGTTTCTGAGGGGGGATTTCTTGAATTGAGCCAGATAGATTTTTTTTTATTTGCACACGATTCACGATTTATAGAAATCACAAACATGCCCAAAAAAATTCTGTGCTGGACACAATTTGCATTCACCACTGTGATCTAGGCACCTGAAATGGCTCATTAAATGCAGAAAGTGTACTTGACTAGACAGTGACTTAATTTAAGTCCTGAATAAGACCTAATTTTTTATTTTTTTTTTGCACTGGAACACAGAAAGCAAAAGCGGTGCAATGTAATATATTACTAGAAGAACTAATACACTATGCTAAATGACTAAATATCACATAAGGAACTATTTGAAATCTACTTTCTCAATAAAATAAATCTCTGAGTGAGTGAATGAATAAATGAATGAGACTCTGGTATCAGAATTAGGAAGTGTCTGAAGCATGCATTACATCTAGGGCTCAGTTGAAAGGGTGTAAATGATGTGATGCAGGGCGAATCAATACGCCATTAACCACATCACAGTGAGGGTGGAGAAACAGGTCAATACATTTGGTGTTACCTTTGTTAATGTACAAATATAATAATATGCTTTAGTCAGGATGCCTTTTAACTGTCACTACACTAGTATAGGATGTCCCCATCATATATTTCTTAATATACTAATATAAAATCACGATATTACAATTGAAGTCAGCATGAAATGGAAATTCACAGTGTTTTCTAAATGCATCTTACTGATCTAATCGATTCATCCATGCATATGTTTAAATTTTTTAACTTTTTTTGAGCTTGTAATTTTTAATCAAACGGTCATAGCTCGATCTTCCGGTTAAATGGCATATTGCTGACATATTCTCCAATTATTTACTCCACTTAAACCCACCTTTTCTTAGAATCAACTGCAAGCTCACGTTCAGATCTGCTTCCATCCAAACCAACAACCAATAGATAGAAAACTGCCCTACATTTTTTATTTTTCGATAATCTGTTTTACTCAGATGTACATCATAATACGTAAGAAAATGTGCCGCCAGTTCCATTACATCATGACTTTAAGTGAACACGAAAGTAATTTTTGTTGCCATTTACAGTGTCTCCACATATAACTTCTAACATTAGACAATTTATTAAGTAATATTTGAGTTATTTTTTTCCCTTTCAAACCTTTCAACGTATAAGTTTCTGTTCTGTCCTCAAATTCCATCCTGTTACACTTTTGTAAAATTAACTTAGCTAAAAAAAGCCAGTTTCTTAATGACAATATCGTCCAGGAAGTGTAGAAAAGCTACAGCACATCAATAAAAATTAATACAGCAGATTCGCTCTCTCTACCTGACCTGTGTGCATGTCTCTGTCTCACGTTTGGAACAATTTCAGTCGTAATCCTATTACGATATTGATGCACTGTGATATGTATTGCAGTGTAGTTTAAAAAATACAAAAGAATGAAAAGAAACATAACTGATCAACACACTTGTGTCAAATGAGACACATAAGAAGCAAAAACCTATTTTGGCTCACTCAGTTGAGTCAGTTTTGTTGTTTCTGGCTGCACCAGATGTCACGAAGAGGTTAGAGTTTATGATAAGAAAGCCAGCGGGGTCATAACGATGAGACAAAAGGAACATAAATTCATGAAGCACATTCCTCTGCCCGCAGGGAAGACAGCGCGTGTAACACGGCGTCTATGGCAATTTCACCTCGCTGTGTAAAAGGTCCCACATGACCTGGTTCTATCAAAGCAGTGCTGGGACGTGGCATACGCAGACGACAAGAGAGAGCGGGAGGGGTTAAGGACAAAAAGAGAAAGACACACAGCATATACAAGGTTCAGATGGCCTTCGCAGGCGAGACGGTGTTGTCATGGTCCACCGCTCATACACTGATATTGCCTGTGTCAACAGCATGAATAAAGCAGTTGTAATAAAGAATGTTGAGATTTGCTGTTGTTCGCTGCAGAGGGAGGGGTGGCTGCTCTCGCTCGGCCTCCGTTTCTCCCTAAGGCTTGAAAGCTTGACTGAACATAAAGGCAAGGCTGTCAAAACTCGAGAGAGAGTTTGAGGGAGGGAGGGATGGAAAGA